AGGGGCTGTGCCACGGCAGGCTGGGCTCTCTGCTCCGCAGACTGGCAGCGGGAGGCAGCAGGATCACCCACTGGAACCAAAAGGCTTCCAGATAATTAGGTATCAGCAGCGGCCTGCCGAAGATTAGACTGTCAGAGCCGCCCAGGCTCAAAACCTCGGGGTGGCCCCAGGCCTTCAAGATAAGGGGGCCAGAGATGAGCACCAGAGGAGTCAGAACTGGGCCAACCCTGGAAATTATCCAGCCAACAGCTGAGGGACAGAGAGAGCAACCGAGGCCCAGAGAGGGAAAAGACTAGCCCAAAGTCACAGGCAAGGTAGGAATGAGGTCAGGGCTAGAGCCTGCTTTGTAAGTGAACTACCCACTTGATGATTTCAACATTTTGTGTCCCTGTAGGAATGCATGGACTTATTCAAGTTCAAGGAGGAGGTTCTTCACTGTGGCTTATACGGTCTCCATTCATTCATTCCATAGTGCAGGATGGCAGAAGGGAAGCAGGGATGGTCATATCATGGTTTCTGACCATTCATTCATTCATTCATTCATTTCCCAAATATTTGTTGAGCACCTAATAATATGTGCTGGCCCCTCAGGGTATAAACACAGGCACTCTGACTATAGGGAAACGCTTCTTTATTCAACTGTGCCGGCTTAGCCAGTGTTAGGGGCACATCTTCACAATGGTCCCTTGGAAAGCTAGGGACTCCTTCCAAGGAAGCAACTCATGCCCAGAATGTCTTTGGGAACTCCTATTTTAGAATCACCTTCAGATGCAATTTATAAGCCAAGGGGAAAAATCAATTTTGGCACTTTTCAATGATCTCTATCGTATTTTATTTCATTTTTTGGCAAACAAATGATGATCTCCCCCAACTCCAACACACACACACACACACACACACACACAGGTCACCAGATAATGCCATTTGACTACTAAAAACAAAAATGAACTCATCTTTCAGATGCCTGAAAAGCGTGGGCTCTAGCATCAGACACACCTGAGCTGGAATCCTGAGTCCACACGCCTGGCTGTGTAAGCACAGCCCCCATTTATCGTCTGTAAAAGAGACATGATGATATGACTTGTCACATCTCTGAGGATTAGAGAGGATGTACTTACAAGGTTTAATGCAGTGCCCTGTGTGGAGACAGAGCTCAATCAATGATGGTTTTGTGGTTTCTAACTTCCTAGTGAGGGGGCTGAAGAATTTTACAAACATTTTGGAAGCCCTTGGCCGCCGTGCCCAAGTGCTCAGGCTTTATACACATTGGGTGGGTAACGTGGGCATGTCTGTTACAACACGGCAAAGTACAGAATGGCAGGGTCCTTGCTATATCATGCCTGGAGAAGTACGGGGTTTGGAGGCATTCTCCTCCAGTTCGTCCACTGTTCCGGGCAGGGACGACTGAGGCCCCCTAGAGGGAGAAGGACATCTCCTGATCAGCCCCGCTAGTCAGTGGCAGCCGGTGCCAGTCTCGGGAGGCAGCCGACAGAGCCAATTGAAATCTGCAGGTCCCAAGACTGTCACAAGATCTGGACTCAAGGCTCAGGCATCCCCAGGTCCCCGAGGGTAGGGGCCGCCACCACCCCACTCCAGCGTTGCTCTGTTCTACAAAGGATGGACAGTGGATATGGCTGATGGAGAAGGTGCCAACAAGACAGAGATGAGGCTACCCGTGTGGCCTTCCTCTTCTGTCCTGGAGCCCCGCCCAAACTGTCTTCCAAGCACAGGACCTACATCGAGGTAGTCATTTTACATGCTCTATCACCTCCCACAAGCAGTGTCTTCTCATAGCCTCACAGAACCTGCTCGATTGTGAAAGGCTGGTCACCACTGCCCCATTTTACAGATAGCAACACGAAGTTATACATGAGTCATTGGCTTGAGAGCCAGAGCAGGGACTGAAACCTAGAAGCAAGTCTGCTATCTCTCAACCACTATGTGAGCTAACACACCAGGGCCTTCACCATCCTCTCTCCAGCCCCACAGCCAAACAAAATACTTTCTCTGTAAGTAGAAATGCTCCAAGAAGTAAAATGTTAAGCCCTTGAGCCCTAAAGGGGAAAAAGAAACAGCAGAAAGGACTGAAGGAAGAATCACAGAAGGACGTGAAATACGTGGTGGGCATGGGGTGGCAGGAAGCAGGAAGGCTTCATTTAGGGCCAGGTAGACTGGTCTCTGTTCCTCATTAGCCACGTGACCTTGGGCAAGTCATCCAGCCTTTCTGAGTGCTCACCTGAGAGAGCATCCAACAAAATGGAAAAGCATGCCTCCTGTGTGCAGGGTGCCTGGCAGGTGGAATTGATTATAACTGTCCCGTGGAATGTCAGGACTGGAAGGGGCTTGAATAGTGACCTAATCCTGGCATCTCACCTCACAGACAGGAAAAAACAGGCCGAGAGAAGGGAACTGACTTGCCCAAGGTCACACTGCAAACCCACGTTGATGTTGGGTCCAGCACTCTCAGTTTATACTGAAATCAGAGGCCAGAAACTTTTTCAGTGGTTCCTCCCACCCATGGAATCCTAAAATGTACACTTTTTTTCTCCACTTAGCAAGGAAAAATGTGGTATTTCTGCCCAGAAGAAAATATAAAAATTTGAGAAATACTAAAATTCAAACTAAAACCCCAGCTCTTAACAAAAAGGTTCTCTCTTTTAAGGTTTCTTTTTCCCGCCTTCCTCTCTCATTGTTTGCCCGCACCAAATATTTTGCAATAACAGTAATGCTGAGAGGAAAGAAAAAATAAAAATCTGATGCACTTAACAGATATTTCGGTACAATAATGCATCACAGATGTTCATATCAAACTGTGCACGCGCGCACACAATTTTACGGAGAAGGCTGCTCATTTCTGACTTTGGGGTTGAGGACCCGAAACACCCCCATCTGCCCGAGCTCTGGAATCCCTCCCTTCCCAGTTAGCCCACAGCTGCCCACAGGGATGGAGGAGAAATTTCAGCACCTCGCTCCAAAATGATAACAGGACAAATTGGCGGGGTCGGACACTCTGGCAGGTGGTGAAGGGTGTGCAGATTAGGGAACCAAGAGGAGTCCTGTTTTCTTTTGTTCCGGCCTTGCTTCCTGCAGCCCTCTTGAGGAGCTAGACCCGAGAACAATTTTAAGAGCGGGCCCAGGCTGGTGATGGGGTGGGCCCATTTTTGAAACGAGAGATTTGAGTCTGTTTGATCTTCAAACATGGGCTTTGGAGACTGTCAGCGGGCTCCTTGCTGGCCGATAAATGGCTCTCAGGAACTTTTCCTAAAACATAACTTCACACACTTTCCAGCAAATGTTTTCAACCTACCAAAGCCGTCATTTGGTTGAACAGCAGTGTTTCCTTCCGGACACCGAAGAAAGATAGTTTTGTTGTTTTAAGAGAGACAGATTAAAGCCAGGGGCTCTTTGACCAGAGGGTTTCTGCGCTCCCTCCAGCTCTCCTCGGATTCCTCTGTGGTTGGTACAAAAAGGGTGCAGACGGTGATGTCGGATGCCCCACCTCCCCGGCCTAAAAAAGATATCGAGGCCAGACGTGAGGTCTCTGAACAGAGAGGCCTCCCACAAACCTGCCTCCAAAATGAGATGGGCGGTGAGCACTGGGGAGCCCGACACAGATAATATCAGCTCCTGAGGCTGGCAAGGGAAAAGTCACTTCAGAGGGAGAAAGCCGGTATGTTCAGAGGATTCAGCGCCCGGGCCAGAGAATGCACAGGATTTTCCCCCGTGGAGAAGGAGTCAGGCGGAGTCAGAACCCTGCGGGGCGTGACTAACTGCCCCAATATTCCTGCCACCGGGGTCCTCTGGGTAAGGACTCCACAATTATGGGAGAGCCAGCAGGAGAACCGACAAACCCGCCTTTCATTTGGCCGGCAAATCAATCTGGCTTCTTACCTCCCCGGGGACGATATTGCATTTCCCCTGGAAAAACAAAGGCCAGAAGATCTCCAAAGGGGGATCGGTTTCTGCCGCTGTTTCCCTGGGGAAGAGTCTGCAACATCCTGGGAGCGGCAAGCAGGTCTGGTTCCAGTGGTAGAGCTTCTAGCCTGGCCAACTTATGCACGTCTTGGGGGCCGCACCTCACCCAGGGCATCAGCCCAAGCCATTTTGGCGCCTCCTTACAGGAGCCACCAGCCCTGCCGTGGAGCCCCCATCTCCAGATTGACAGCCTGTTCTCGAGGCACAGATGTGAACTCATTGTTCCCAGGGTCTCAGAGTTGAGTTTGGGGCCAGTGAGTTGCAAGTGACCTCTGCCCATGGAGATGGGGCTTTTAATGACATTTTGCTGGATCAGGCCTCAGGTAGCCAGAGACTTTAAACCTCCGAAGTCCTTCCCTTCTCCCTGCCCCCTCTCTTGAGGTCCAGAAATCAGAACTGTCAACCTTTAAGTGAACACACTGTTCTGAAATTATTAACCCCAAAACTATCCTTGTTGACTTTCTCCAGGCCTAGGGAGGCAGTCCGAGGGTCGCCTAGAGCCATGCAAGGCCGGGGCAATTCAGCAGTGCTTAGCCTTCAACAGCCAGCCAGAGCCACATCGACACCAGGTCCACGGCACCTCCCCTGCCCCCAAAGCCGCAGGAACCACGACTCCCTATATGCATCCTCTGTACATACACGCTGCTGCCCAGCTGGGCCCACATAGCAGCCTCGGGACAGCCTCCGGCTCGGGGAAGCTGGACACAAACTTGCAACTCACTCTTTTTGTTTTCCTCACTCTGATGCTCCCAGGAAAATTCTTTCCGCTCAGGCAAGCACAGCAAGTGGGGCGTGCCTATCCCCAACAGGTAGCACCACTGAGCTAGAAGCAAACACCCAACTCTCACCCCGAATTCTAGCACATGCCAGTTTGCCCCCGACCCACCACTAATGCAGCCAGAGAGCCGCCTCCCAGGCCGAAAGAGCCTCTGCCGTTGGAAGAAGGCCAGGGCGCCGGCTACAGAAGGAGGAAGGCAATCGGAAAGGAGGACAAAGGGGGCTGCCCGGTTCAGACAAGCGCCTACCTGGGAGAAGTTGAGCCCATTAAGCGGGTGGCACTGCTCCTCCACCCGCTCCACGGCCCCGGTGCTCTTCTTCATCTTCTCGGCCTGCTGGGCCAGGTAGAGATCCAGCACAGGCACGCCTCGGGAGCGCACGTCCGTCTCCGTGAGCGAGTTCACCATGAGCATCACCCACACGGGCCTCTTGCGCTCCCAGTTGCCCGCGATGGCGTTGAACAGGTAGTCGGCGTAAAGCCCCTTGCCCCGCTGCGCTGGCGTCATCCACGAGGGCATCATCAGCTTCACGTAGTCCAGGTGGCGCTTCAGGCGCCAGTAGAGGTCCTGCGGCAGCACGTCCTGCAGGTTCTCGCCGTGCGGGAGAAGCTGGCAGCTGGCCAGCGCCGAGACAGTGTAGGGGTCTGTCAGGTCCAGCTCGAAGTAGACGCGGGCGCTGGCCTGGAAGGCTGCCTTGGAGTTGTCCGGGATGAAGTCCCACACGCGGGTGTACGGCACGTGGATGGTGCCGAACAGGTAGGCCGGGGGCTCGCGCCGAATGGTCCACAGGAAGGAGTTCAGCTCCGTCTGCTGCAGGCGGGCGGAGAGAAGGCCGGCAGTGAGGCTGAAGGCAGCAGGGGAGACTGGGGGCAGCCCGGGGAGAGGCGGGTGGGGCTGGGGGTGGGAGGCAGAGGCCTACGTGGGGTCGGGGCAAGAGCCAGGACTTGGGAAGCTGAAGGACCCTCATTCAAATCCTGCCTTTGCCCTGTCGTAGCTGGATGATCTTAAGCACGCTGTTCCGCTTCCCACAGACTCAGTTTCCCCATCTGTGAAATGGGGGTGAGAGCAGCCACCTCAGGGGAGGATATAGGTAAGGAAGCCCTAAGAGCAGTGCCAGCCACAGAGGCAGTAGGCAATGAAGGACGCTCTCATTAGGATTAGCTTGCCCTGCGAGTGCCAGGGACGGACTCCACAGCACCGGAGAATATTCAAGCTCGGCCAAGCCAAACCTTCACCGGTGGTGTTTCATGCAGACGGTGGGGGAGGGGGGGAGCAAGAGTCCTGCTCTGGCAAGAAGGGAGGAAGTCATAGAACTTTTAAATCCAGCCATTAGAAGATACATGCCAAGAGCACTTTGAAAGCAGAACACCTATTAAAAATAGCACACCTATTTAAACAGTTACTTCCCATTCATCGGGGTGGACACGACACTCTTGTTGGAGGGCAGGTCTGGGGGGCCAGCTACTAGCTCCACCACAGATGAGAAAGGGCTTGAAAAGCTGCAGGTTAAATACGGCCTCAGGGCCCTGGTTCAGGGGGGGAAGATTCCCCAGAATTAGTCCCAAGAAATGTACATCCTCTGGGGCTTCAGGCTCCTCCCCTAAAACGCTGTACCTGGCCTCCAACCCCACCTCTGTCGTCTTCTATGACCGGGGCTCTGAGGAGAAGCATTTGTAGGGGTGAGAAGGGGCATGGACACAGGGCTCCTTTCTCCAGATCCAGCATAGGACCAGAGCTTAAGGGGCACGAGAAAGAGACTATCATTTCTCTCAGGCAAAGTCTTTTTCCAACCAGAGAAGCCCCTGGACGGGCCACTGACCACTTACAAGCTCGAGGTCAACTCATAAAATTTTTCCGCCTGATTCCAGCACAAATGATGTGACGGGGTGGGTGGGGGAACAGTACCTTATTTTACTAACAACCAAAAATCGTGAATCCCGGCATACTGGAGGTCGACTCGCTCTGAGCTCCCAGCTGGCCACCGACCTCCCCGTTCCCGCACAAATCAGGACTCTGGAGGTGCACCTTGCCCAAGGTCAACTAACTCCCTGCTAACTCGGCAGTGAGTGAGGACCCTTCAAAACTTTTTCCTGTTCCCTGGCCTCCAAATAAGTGTTATTTTCAATGCATTCATTTACACTATGAGGGAAGGAGACTGAGAGAAATCAAGGGATTCTTAGTTGAGAAGGAAAATTAAGAGAACCAGTAATTATTCAACCCCCAAGGAGATATTAGGCCAGCATGCCCTGGCACTTCCTTTTCCTCTCCTCTGGAATGTTCCCCCTTTTTGTGAAATGGGGGCAGTTGGGAGATTGGGTGCTGGGGCCTGGGCTGGAGAGGTAGAGAGAGGAGGAAACCAGCACCAGGGAGAAAGTTTGCCTTAGGTTAGAGTGGGAGGACAGGGGAGAGGGCAGCCTGAGAGGGGACAGAGTGGGAATGGGACAGAGGGCAGGTCTGATGGAAGTCAGAACAGAGAAGGGCAAGGAATGGTAGAAACAGAGTCAGAAGTGGGCAGAGAGCAAGCAGAAGGGTAGAGACAAGGATAAAGGAAGAAAGAAGCGAGTCAAAGGGGCACAGGGAGGAAACGTCCAAGCAGGACCAGGACCGAAAGTCGAGGAGAGCCCGAGAGCGTCAGCGTGTGTTGAAGGAGCTGGAGAGGGAGCGCCCCATCTCGGCTCCCGGCACGGAGCTGGAGCCGGGCGGCAGGAACGGGGCGGCAGGAGCCGGGGAAGGGCGCCCGAGGCAGCGGCACCCGGCGAGCGGAGATGGAGCGGGTGGGCTGAGGTGGGTGCGGAAGGCAGGGACCCCCCCTCCCACCACCACCAGCCCTCGTCCCCGCGGGTTGGAGTGGCTGGGCGGCCGGGAGAGTGGCCGGGCAGGCGCTCGCTCACCGATCCGGGCGGCCGGCACTGTCCTCCGTCCGGGGGCTGCGGGCGGGCGCGGGCGGTGGCGAGGAGGGCGGCGAGCAGCGGCCCCGCCAGGGCGGCGTGCATCCTGCCGGGGCCCGCGGGGCGCGGGGGCCCTCCTGGGCGGCGCCCCCTCGGCGGGGCGGGGAGCCCCCAGCTGGGCACGGAGGCTCCTCTGGGGCGCGGGGCTCCAGCGGCGGGATGCTGGGAGCCCTCTGGGGCGGGGCTGGGTATCCCTGCTGGACCTGGGGGTCCCTCTGGGGCGGGGCTCCGTCTGCTGGAAGCGGGGGGACCCTCTGGGGCGGGGCGGGGCCCCGGCCCTCCTCAGGCGCGCAGCCCCGTTGGCCGAGCCCTGGGTTCTGCGAGCGCGCGGGTCCCGGGGCGCGCCGACGTCCCGGAGCTGCGTCGCGGTCCAGGGGCGCGCGAGGTCCCGGGGCGGTACCGGGCTCCCAGGGCGCGCGAGGTCCCGGGTTACGCGGGGGAGCCGGGCGCGCAAGGGTCCCAGGGGTGCGCGGCGCTCCAGGGGGCGCGCGGTGGGACAAGTGCGGCGGCGGGCGCGGCGGGGCGGGGGTCGGGTCTGGGGCGCCCGGCTGCCCCAGAGCCGGGCTCAGAGGGGCGGCGGGTGGCCGCGCGGCCGCTGCCCGGGCTCCGCCATGCTGCTCCGCGGCCGGGAGGGAGGGAGGGAGGAGGGCGGGAGAGCGCAGCGGAGCCGGGCCGGGCGGGGGGCTGGGGCCGCCGGGGCGGGGGGAGGGGGCGGGGGGCCGGGGCCGAGCCGGGCCGCGCCGGGCCGGGCCGGGCCGCAGGGAGTCGGGGCGAGCTCCGCGCCCGGGCGCGGCGAGGCGGGGTCTGATGGGCATGGCAGGCGCTCGCTCGTTCCTCTCTCGCTCCCTCGCTCGCTCCCTCACACACGCGCGGAGGGAGGCGAAGCCCGCAGCAGCCACTTCCCCACTTTCCAAACTTCCCAGCGCAACTTTTTCCTCTCCTCCCCTGCCCGTGCCTCCTCCTCCCCCATCGCTCCCCCTTCCCCTGGCCCGCTCCCTGCCGGCCGTAGCTTCCAGGCGCGGCCACCAGGGGGCGCCCGGGCCGAAGCCCCGCTCGGCCAACTTCTGTGGGCTCTTCCGTGGACACCGCTGGACGATGAATTCGGGGACACGGACCAGCATCGCCTAAAGCGTCTGATGCGCAGGTCCTGGCGGGAGTTAACAGCGAAGGAGGCAGGAGTGGGCAAGCACTCCCAGACTGGCTGGGAAGGCAGCACTCAAATCCAGGGAAATCCAGGGAAGCTGCTAATTACAACTTTGTATCACACTGTTCCTGGCTAACACTGGCTCGCGCTTAGTAGGTGCTCTGCAAACTCTAGTTGAATTAAAACAAAACAAAACAACAAAGTAATCTTCCTCACAACTCCTTGGCACCTTCCATTTAAACAGCCTTCTCCCATTAACGTCCTTGGACCTGCACAGGATCCCTGTAAATGGCCGGGGAACAAGGAAGATTCATATTCTCAAATCCTTAGACCATAGGAATTGAGAGAGCCCTTAAAACCAATCTTCTGTTCCTGAGAGGCAGATGAAGCTTCAAGGAAACCAAAGGACAGGGCACATGCTTCTGGGCCATTTTCAGCAAGTGGGGAAACTGAGTCACAGGCACCCTTGCTTAGTTCTGCTAAATGAAAGTTCACTGATTCCTCCTATGCTGACAACAGAGACTGAAGTATGAATTAGGTAGAATTGTCAGGAGCCCATAGCCTAGAGAGAAAGACAGGGACAGTGATGCAAAGAGGCAATTAAAATCAGACAATGAGCGCCAGGACAGAGAGAAGCACTGCCAAATGGGAACAGAGAGGAAGGTCTCCTAACGCAGCTCAGAGGCTCAGGGAAGACTCCTGGGAGTGGTCTTGAATGGTATGTCACAGGCAGCTGAGTGGAGGGGCTGCACAAAGTCTTCCAGGTGAAGGAAGAGCAGGTGCCAAGGTGCAGAGGGGAGAGGGCATAGGTGCCCGCAGGGGACTGCAAGCAGTCGGGCACGGCCGGAACAGAAGGCCAGTGGCAGGAGCTGAAGTCTTGTCTTCTGGCCCTGCTGGAGAGTTTGTACTTTATATGTACTAGGGGCTAGGGAGGGGTCATGGCAAGATTTGAAGTAGAGGGTAGCTGGAGCTGACCTGTTCTTTGAGGAGGCATGCCTGTAGGTGGTGAGTTGGGGGCAGAGAGGTCGGTGGGCAGATAGGCAGTCAGTGCAGAGGTGACCTGACTCCCAGCCCAGTGCTTTCCCAGCACTCTGGAGCACTCTTGTCTTCAGGCACCAGATTGAACAGCTGGAGAATGGCCACTCTAGAAGGTTGGGCAAGGAAGACTGGGCTGGGCCAGGCTGGAGGGGCCAGAAAGGCTTCCAGAGCACAAGATCTGGGCCTTGGGGCAGAACACGGAAGGGAAGGAGGGGGACACCAGAGACTTGCAGGTTGAACCACATGAGATTGCCATTTTTGGAGGCCAAAGCTAACTAATGTTGGCAATCTCACATGGTTCGACCAACTAGGTATTCGGAGCAACCTCAGTCTCAGCCCAAGCATACATCTGGCGACAGATGCAGAGCAGGCCAGAGTGCCCAGATGGGGTGAGACAACAGTGTGGCTCCATGTTTCCCTCACACAGAGCTCTGAGAACTGCAGCTGTGACAAAAGAGAAGTCCTTTAAAGAGCCCCTGTTCCCCGAGGCTCCAAAGCTCCCACAGCACTTGGTAAGGATGAGGTGAAACAGTTGGGAAGTGGGAGGAAGAGTTCATTCCACTGAGATGGAGTGTGATGGTCTTCATGGGGAGTTAGAGGATAAGAAAGGACCTGATCACGTTAAAAATGGATCCATATAATTAAAGTGACGGTACATGTGAATATGTGCGTGTGTGTGATTTTTAAAATGTTCTAAGGCTTTTTTTTTTCCCTAAAATTATAGAAGTTTCATTGGCTAATTGTCATGAGTACCAGCTATGACTTCTTCCTTCATGGTGCTATCCTATGGCTGTGTGACCAGGGTCAAAACAGTTACCTCTCTGTGCCTCCCTTTCTCCATCCAGCTTCCTGTCCTTTTTTTTTTTTTTTTTGAGAGAGAGATTGAGCTGGAGAGGGGCAGAGAGAGAGAATCTTAAGCAGACTTCACACTCAGTGCAGAGCCTGACGTGGGGCTGGATCTCACAACCCTGAGATCGTGACCTAAGCTGAAATCAATAGGTCGACACTTAACCGACTGAGCCACCCAGGCTCCCCTCCTGTCCTATTTTTTGAGTCAATGTGTGCAATAGTACTTAGAATCTCCACCAGCACTGTTACCGATATTGTTAATAAGATGCAAGAACAAACAGGTTTTTCCACTCCTAGATGGAAAGAGAGTTGAAAACATTCATCCATACAAAGTAGTAGTATTGTTCAAAATAACTAAAAGGGACAAACAACCCAAATGTCCACCTATAGATGAATGGACATACAAAATGTGATATATTTTTATGGTGGAATATTTTTTGTCCAGAAAAAGGAATGAAGTACTGATATACGCTACAATGTGGATCAGCCTTGAAGACATTACACTGAATAAAGGAAGCCAGCCACAGAAGGGCATATATGAAAATGTGATATGATTTATTCATACAAAAGGTCCAGAAGCAGCAAATAATAGAGGCAGCAAGTAGATTAGTAGTTGCTTAGCATTAGGAGGAATGGGGATCTTGGAGGAGCTTGAGGGACCTTGGCTGAATGGTACTGGGTTGCTTTGGGGAGTAATGAAAATCATCTAGAATTAATTGTGGTGAATTAATTGCACAACGCTGTGAACATACTACAAACCACTGAATTATACACTTTAAATGGGTGAATTGTATGGTGTATGAATTATATTTCCATAAAGCTGTTACCAAAAAAACAAAGAACAAACAAGTTGGGGTCCTAGGAGAGGGTGTTCCTCAAGAACAAGGGTCTTAGTGTTTTCCAACAATTTTCTCTCCCACCTGGTGGAGCAAGAGAAGCCCTGGATGGACAGTCCTAAAATCCTAGAGATTCATTGTGCTTCTGCTAATGCCTCACTGAGCAGCTTCAGGGAGTTCTGTTGGCCTCAGTTTCCCTGCCATCAGTATGAACAAGCTCATGGAGCAGATAACCATTAAGAGTCTTCTGTGTCCAACACTAGAGTTCAGAATCCCATGGCCACTGCCTGCCCCGGGGCCTGTAGGCAGGATGGGAAAGGCACCGGGCTCAGGAAGCAGGCAGTGGACTCAGCCGCCTGCTTCCTCTCCCAGTGCATATCCGGCCCACTTTCCTTTTATTGCAATTTAATGAAGTTGTTCAATCAGATGGGTACCAGGAATCTGTAGGCTGTAACAGCCCAGGCAGACACAGAAGCCTTGTAGCGTAACTAAACCAACAAAATCTGCCTCTTGAGCAGATCCAGGAGCCCCAGGGCCTGCCAAAGGGCGTCTCTCAGGGAAGGAGATGAGGGGCTCCCTGCTCAGCTGACCTAAAGGAGGCATTTTGCCCTGGGCTGGAGGGCTGCCCTCTGGCCAGCCATTGCCTGGGTCACTGACCCTACTGGTGTTTTCAAATGGGCCCCACCAGGCCTGACTTCCAGTTCAACTGCTATCCCGGTTGTGCCCATCTCTCACCCCCCCAGAGCTCTGCCTTCTTCATCCCAGCCTTCCTTGTCTGGAAGTTAATCCTTGATGACTGAAAGACAGGACTGCATTGGGGGTAGGGGGTGAGGGGGAAGGAAAGCAGACTCCAGGACCCTGCAGCATCAGCAGTGCTGAAGACAGTCTAGAGTGATGGAAAGAACTAGAAAATATCAGACACTGAGATGATTCAGAAAAGGGCGTTCCCTCCTGGAGTGGGGTGATAGACACAGGATCATAGGGTATGGATTGGAGTTGCTATGCAGATGGCATTCCTAAAACAAACAAACAAACAAACAAAAAACAAAGCAAAACAAAAAACAACTTAAAAAGAATAATTAAAAAAAAAGAAGAGGAATTTAAAAAAAAACAACCCACCTGTGGTCCAGCTCAGTGGAGGTGTGGAGAACAGGGAGGAATCAGCCAGATGCTGTCCT